AATTTGACACTTTATTGACCCCACCTCGTCATCGTCATCCTCATTTGCCTCTTCGCTTGACTAAATTTAATTGTTTGAGAATCATTTATTTATTTGTTGTTTGAATTGTTAGGATGAATTGTCAGAAATATTCCTAATTTAAAAATCCGTGCAAGTTATTCATTTCGCTTTATATGAATGTATCTACATCAGAAATGAGCACTAGATAGACATTTTATATATACTATTTTTTTACATCAATTAGCCTAGCCCCGAAGTAAGATCTTTACGCTTCTGTTATGGAAACTAGGGTATCAGATACAATACATAATTATATATTTATATATGAGGAGCTGGCGAACAAAACTACTTTTTTTTACAGTCCGGAGGTTTCGGGCCCGTTGAATTTGAATCTCAAATAATTTTTAATCAAAACCACCTAAAACAGTGTTAAAATTACTAATTTAAAAAAAAAATAACGATGACAAAACCTCACTGTAGGTATGTCATTCAGTTTTATACAGCTCCTGTAAAATTTAGTTTTATGTAATTATACCGTTTTGTTCGCCAGCTCCTCATATATATACATGTTAAACATTTATTGCTTGAAGTACAAATGCTCGTATTCATCACACAAACATTTGCCCCCACCTGGATTCCAAACCGGGAGCTCTCGAGTAGGCGACACCTTGAATCTTGGCGTACATTATACTCGGCCACGGAGGTCGACAAAAGAGGTTTGGTTACTTATTACCTGTGAATAGGTACCAAAATTTTTACCAAGAAAAATGAACTTGATATTAGCATGATTCTTTAAACTCGAAACTTAAGTTGTGAAAAATGAACTTGATTTTAGCATGATTCTTTAAACTCGAAACTTAAGTTGTGAAAAACAAACTTGTTTTTAGCATGTTCCTTTAGACTCGAAACTTAAGTTGTGAAAAATGAACTTGATTTTCGCATGATTCTTTAAACTCGAAACTTAAGTTGTGAAAAATGAACTTTATTTTCGCATTATTCTTTAAACTCAAAACTTAAGTTGTCTACTTAAGTTAATTTTTCTTAATAATTTCACAACGTAAATTTACTCTTTTACCCTCTTTTTAATAGACGAAGAATTAGGTTGAATTAGTTAACCATGTTTTTCCTCTCTGTTTATTGAATTACAATATAAATGGCATTTGAGTGATATGAATAAAAGACGGCGTAACTATTCTATGGTTGTTCCTCTCTTATTAATAAGGGGGTATGAGATATTAATATGTATATCTAAAATGGTAAATTGACTGAATTATAAGAAGGAATTTTATAAGGAACACTACTTCATACTTTATGTTAGAGAACAGTACAACTGTGTTCGTGTTCTCAAGACTCTCACTCTTCATCATCAGACTTTTCAATGTTCCCACTGCTAGGGCATAGGCCTTCCCTATGGATGGCATAAGAAGATTGGGCCATGATCCACCACGCGGCCCAGATGGCGGATTGGTAGATACTAACGCCTGCAGATGCAGCCGAGACAAGGAGCTTATCGTGCCTTCCAAAGCATTGAGGTGCTCGAGATATTAACCGATTTATTGTCACCCATCCTAAAACCGACCATTGCGAAAGATGCTTAACTTCCACGATCGCAGATCGAACGAGCTTACCACCTGCGCCATCTCTCCGGCTCTCTCTCTCCTTTACTCCTAAATATTTGATATGTTCGGAGTTCGAACATATATGTTTATGAAACAGTTATAAAATATATTAACTTGATCTGTTAAACAAATTAAAACAAGCAGTTCTTATAGCAGCCATCACAGGCCAGTTAACGTTTCGCTCTAGTTGTACACTTAGTCAAGAAACAGACACGACGGATTAACATATTAAATATTGGCTTACGTATTGTAGGGATACTTATTATTAACTTCCTATTATCAATACATTGTTACTGCCATTGACCAAGATTTAGCTACAGGCACAAGACTAGATATACACAATTTTTGTGTCACAATGATACAAGAAAATATTTTTTAATTTCTAAACGGTCACTTTAAAAGTATAACTTTATGTCCCTAGTAAATCACTAAATCACATAAACTTCTCCTCATTTAACAACATCCCGGTGTGATTAAGAAATAAATAAATAACAATGCAATGTATGTATTTTATATTGCTTCCAGCAGTTTCAGCACACTGCAATTATCGATCTTATATCTATGCAGTAGCTTAGGTTACGTTACTAATTAATGACATATAATTAAAAGGCTATCCCTCAAATAAAAGTGATTTATGAATATATATTAATCTTGTTTTCTTTTACTTAATTATTGTGCAAATATTAGTCGACAGAATAAAACAAATATACACGCCATGACTGCAAAACGCTTACGAAACAGCAAAAGATTAAAACACAAGTACGATTTTAAGCTGTTGTATCGCTTTTATCGCGGGCTTTGAGCGCGCGACCGAATCAACAAATTCCGTAACGAAAAAACCTTACGAGAGTGTATATCACCACAATTTTCGCCATTCCAACATTGATCTAAACGGCGCAGTGTGATAAGTTTTGCCACGGGACCAACGTTCGACGCATCACCGCGATCGTCGGTTCAAATCCCGCACTTATTTTTGTTTTTTATTACTATATTTTTTTCCTTTTTTTATATATTTGTTTTACACCCGAATAAACAATAAAAATAAAAAAAAATACTGCATAAACTAAATAAATAAATAATTACAATTGCATAGGTTGATAAAAATGCTATGCAATAACTTTACCGCGGCAGTCCCCGAGTGCCACACGTATTTTTTTCTGGTTATTTCGTTTTTATTTTTACTGTCGCGCATTTTAGGAGAAAATTTTCCTCAATCCTTTTTAATTTAAATACAACGCATTATTCACGTATTTGTAGAATATTACACTAATAAACAATCTTTGCCCTACATTCGTCATTTGTTATTTAAAATCAGGAGAATACTATGGTTCATTCAATGGGGAATTAATCATCATGTACCTACAATAATTGGTACACTATCAATGCGTTTTCTGCCTACGCAAAACCGCAGACCTGTTAACAAGGGCTAAAGCTCTTACAATGGGAATTATGGTGTATGACTCATTACGTGACGAAGTGTAGGAGTGCCTCTGATTGACACAATGTCAGTGTACCTACCTAACGATGTGCATCACGGAGCTTGCCAATATCCTCGCATCAATAATGTTAGGGCCACACTCACGGAAAATGCCGTTTATTATCGCGATGATGGACCTTTAACACTACGAACGGGATCTGGAGGTCTACTTCAACGAACTCTATTTCAACGAAAAACTAATTTTTTCATTACTCTGTTTCTGCTTCATTTCGAAAATTCGTTCGTCCGAAAATAGTTTGACAATTAAACTATCCAAGCCTCCTCTAATTCACAACACTTTCGAACAAAAAGTTGAATTTGACAGATAAATAATTGTTCGAAATTTTAACCTCAAATTGAAGAAATAAAAAGTGTTACCTTTTCATTTTCGTTTCGGGATTTATGTTTTTATTAAGCCTAAAATTACTGCTAGAGTATTTAAATCAAGGCTGCTTAGCATGAGGAAAATTTTTAGCATGTAAAATTAACAAATAAACCAAATTTTTATTATTTGTTATATTTCAAATACTTCAAAGTATTCAACGACATAGGTATTTAAGTTGACATACTATCGATTGTATCAACTCTACAAGTCAAACAAGGTTCTTTCAATGTCATCAAAAATTTCGCCGTAAAGTAATATTGTTTCCAAATAAAAAACGTAATCTAAAAAGTAGAGATAAAAAGAACTCACAATCATGACTCATTCCATTCGTTCACGAAAATTGTTCGTGATTCCGAACTTTATGTGCCTGTTCGAAAATGAACTAGAGTAGAGTCAGTAGCGAAATTTCGATTAAATTCTCCTAATCAGACAAAAACCTATCTGAAAGAAAATTTGGAATTTTCGTGACCTTAATTTTTCCCCTATGGATGGCCAAAAATTATCAGTAAATAAAAACAAATTTCGGTTTTAGTTATAGTAAAATTTATTCAAAATAACGTTGTTACATTACAAAATAAATGCGACGTTACATAAACCAGCTATAATTACCTACACTTAACTATCAGAACAAGGTGGGAAAAATCAAATTTTGATTAAAGTTGTCGTCAATGTTCTTTTAGAAGTAATTAAGGAGGCTTTTCTTTAATCATGTGAAGTTCTGATAGAAGAAGAGAGGATCAGAGAAAATAGATCTAGCAGTAAAATGCTTAAAGAAATACTCATCAAAAAAGTCTAAGCAGTATTTTCTACGGGTTTTGAACTTTTGAACGATTTTTACTATTATAATATATTTATACTATACTATTATAAACTGATATAAACATAATCGAAGTGTTTCTATTTTTAAAATCAGCCAATTATATTTTCGATACCAAAAAGATTATATCCTCCTGACAAACAAGCATTTACTTAAATCTCTTGCCACTATGGTCGAATGTACTACGCCAGGTATCAGGAGGATATACCAATCTACTTTGCTAAGAAAATATATCAACAATGAATAAAACATACACTTTCTGTAAATGATACGTTAGTGTATAAATATACATCAAACGTCAGAGTAAATGTTTTTAAAGGCCTTAAGAATATTTGAAATTAATACTTATTCACCGGAAATATAACCTAATCTTTGTCCGAATTTACTAGTAAAGTTAAAAAAATGTAAAAAAAACACATACCAAAGCTATGACTTTAGAAATAAAAAAAATATACAAACATGAACCTCTTTCTCTACCTACCACCAAGGGCCTCGCCAAGGGGACGGGGGGGGGCGTCCCCACCTAGAGATAAAATGCAATTGACTTCTCTACCTATTATATTGCCCCATTGCCCCCCTCCCGCTTAGTCATAAGCTGGCGATGCCCTTGCCTACCACTTATAAAGGGGGGGGGGGGGGGGATAAAAGTGACATAAAACCTCACATGTTTAAAGAACGGCCGTAGCCTTACAGTTAAATAACGCATGTTTGTATAAAAATAGTGTTAATATTACATCTCTTTCGAGTAATGTATGACAGCGAGTGCCGTATCTAGGAGGTACACTGCTCCCTGGATTACGCAGAGAGCACCAACCGCTAAGCCGACCTGGAACAAAATAGTTTGTAACATTAAATACAAAGAGATTTTCATTCGCAGATAGAAATTATGTGGATCCGTTGATCAAAAATTTGTCACGGAGTTGTCATTGTCTACGGGGTCTACGTAACTAGAAATCCATTTGTCCTAAAGATTTTTTATTTATTGTTGCACTGACTTCCTCGCAGCTTGCTGTGCATGCTGAATAGATGTTATTTATTGCTGCATCCAACAAAAATAAACGCTAAACGTCAATTAGACTTAGACCTGAGTATTTGATTAATTTCAGCTTGTTTTACCCTCTACATGATCTTAAGTCATCATCATCATCATCATCAGCCTGTTAATGTCCCCACTGTTGGAGCACAGGCCTTCCCTATGGATGGAATAGGGAGATTGGGCTATGACCCGCCACGCGGGCCCCGTGCGGATTGGCGGGTGCTAACGACTGCAGATGCAGCCGGGACCAACGGCTTGACGTGCCTTCCGAAGCACGGAGCAACTCGAGATAAAAGATTTTGGTCACCCATCCAATAACCGACCACTACGAAGGTTGCTTAACTTCAACGATCGCAGCCGAACGCGCTTACCAACTACGCCATCGATCTGATCTTAAGTAAAAAGAAGATTTTAGCAAAAGGACACACTAGAAAACTTTGCTTAAAAATATTTTTGGTGATTCTTTACTCATGAAAATAGAAGTCTTGAAAATTGCACCTACAACCCAATATGTAGGTATATAAGAAAACCCGAACAAGTGTGAGTCGGACTCGCTCACCGAGGGTTCCGTATTTGTAGGTATGCAGGTTCTTGATAGACAGACGGATAAACGGCCGTATATATTCCTTACAGTAACTAAGAAGTTTGATTTTTTCACAGCTTCAAGGGACCGTAGACCCGAATATATGGTTTAAATTTCAACTCGATACCACCACATGTTCCCGAGATAAAGGGTCTTGACAGACAGACGGAAAAAAAAGTGGTCCTCTATGGGTTCCGTTTTTTCTTCTTTTGAGGTACGGCACCCTAAAAACAGCTTACCTGTCTCTCAGCGAAGAAGAACTGGAACTGGTGCTCCCCCTGGTAGCCACCCCAGTAGTGAAGTGCCACCGCTCCGACTGCCAGCCACATGAACACGCCCACGAAGTTCATCACCACTTCCGATAGGGCTCTGAAATTATCAAAACAAAGTCATCAGCATCAGGCTGTTAAATTTGGTCCAATTGGTGGTCAAATTAGGCACATGATCTTCTATGCATCTTCTCTTATATTCTCCAGAAATACATAGGAAGAACAAGAGAAACTACCACAGGACGCAACGTTCTAAGTTTGTAGTCCAAACGTGAACTATGATATTTCTCTGTCACGAAATTTTAAAATGGAGTAGCCATTTGCTTTCCTAAATATGGACAAACTCAAAATAAGTAGTTAATTTCGGGTTACTCATTCAGTGACCTAAAATTAACTTTAGATATCTTCACCCACTATGCCGCTATGGAGCTCTCGGTGCTTAATAAACTTCAAGAAGGTGTGCGAGATTCATTGGCAAGTATAGTCTTGCGCTCTCGCAAGAACCGACCTTAGTTAGGTCATTGTAGAAGAAATATAGTTTCTGTCATCTTGTTTTCTAAAGTAGTATGTGGTACAATAATTGTGTCTGATTATAGAGTTGTCCCTCGATTGTCTTAGACTACACCACACTACAAAGAGAACCATAGTGACCACAGACGTATAGTTTATACTATTGCAGATAGTCATTCTGCAAGGGACGGACTCGCCTGCCTAGGTAGCTGACTATTATAATTTCTAGGTCTCTATAAGCTTAGCACAAAGTTCTTTTCAACATTGTCTTAATCTTAATTTCCTGTTCAAATTAACACAATTATAAAAGCTGCAGTCTGACTTCTGAATCTAGAATCTAGGATCTAGCTTCCTCAATTGTGTTAATTTTAACAGCAAATGAGAATCAGGCCATGTTGAAAAGAGTTTTACTTCGAGAATATTTACCTCTTATGTTGCGTGGTGCCAAAGAGGAAGGTGACGACCTGCACGAGCGTGTATATGAGGTAGCCGACGATGACGCCGGACGCGACGATTTCGGCGTCCGGGTTCTTCTCCTCGTTGAGGTTCCATGTGCCGCCCACGCCAAGGAACTCGCCGTTGTACCCGGTGCGGTATAACACGAGAATCACGATGTTTAGGACCTGGGAGGAATGTTAAAAATATTAGGCCATAAAAATACCATCGATTGATGAAATGTGGCTGAAAATAAAACAAATCTAGAGGACCAAAAGACCCTAATAAATTTTAACGTTACTTGTATGGTTAACTACAGGATCATACAATGAACTGTCTCTGCCAAGGGCCGCTCCAAAGATCTCAATAATCAGATCTACGCAGCAGCTTCCCGTGCATCTTCCCTAGAATTAAAAACCCTTATATATAAAGAAGTCATAGCTTCTCTCGCCCCCCGCACCCCAATCCCAAATACATCCATGGTGTATTTAACGTGGGTATATTTATTGTAATGTTGTGAAAAAACTGATATTCGGGGATTCCGGGGCAATAAGGTCTTATTACTGGACACGGGACAAGACGCAAAATTCCCTCACCATCCCGGATTCACCCCGCCCATCTGGCAAGGCTCCTGCTAGTCCTTTTGATTTGTGATTTGATGATGCAATATAAAATAAATACACAGAAGTAGATGTAAGTGATATATTTACGCCATCAATATGACACAAAATATTATAACAGTTTATTAGAAGAAATACAGCTTTACACCTCTATCACAATTTATAGACAGGAATAAATACGAAGTTCCTTAAATTGAATCTGTACATAAGATATGAGAAATGACATCAATAAAAGAATTAAATCATAAAACATGACACATACTCAAAATTAAAGAAGTGGGAAAGATATTGATAGTTTGGTTTTCTTCTTTGTAACCGTTATAATATATAAAATATTTATGCGTTAAAGGTTCAGAATAAATAATTCATATTCAATACTTGTCATATATTTATGTAACTACGTGGATTACAAGTTTATTTGTTATATTTACATAGACATTTAAAATTACAAAAGCTTAAAACTACTTTATATCTAAACTAAAATCTTTTTTATTTGTGTCTGGGAAATGCCTTACGCGTCCTTCAACCACTGGGGGAGCGAGAAGGTATGTGGGACTCCTCCCTGCCCACTTCAGCCAGCTCTGAGGCTAGCTGAAGTGAACAGAGCCCTACCTACGCCCTGAACAGGGCCACTAAAAACCAGACAATACTCCTGCACCGTCACCCGACACGCACTATGAGGATCGCGGTCCCCCTAGTGCGTGCCAAGAGGGTGTAGTCGCGGCTCCCGTTTCCGAATGTCCGCGCACCCGCCAAGTGTTTGTCCGCGAACGGACCCACCCCGATGAGGATGCCCCGGAGAATCAGGGGCATCAACATCCAGAGAGCTTGCGCAATGCGGGCCCGTCCCCCCAGGACAGAATCTAAACTAAAACCTACGTGGAACTTGTTATCTGATAACAAAGAAGCGTACTAGTAACAACGAGTACATGTCCTCGCTATTCATCCGGTTCTATGTTTACCATGAGTTTGAATAAGTACTTCCGAAAATCTAATTTTATCATGTTCTAATAAAGTTTGACTCATAACATCAGAATTTTAAGATTAACACTGCTCGTTATGAGTAACACACAAATTTTATGAAAAAGGTATAAAAAAAAATAGTAGCTAATCTATTTTCATCAGAATAAAGTTGATAAACGCTCGATATCTGATTAAGTTATCAGAATTCTCACTTTTTTATATTAACATGATTTTTGTTCTACTGCTCCAATTGACTTATAATGTTTGCATGTGTTTTTAAATTATTTAAGAAAACTCAATTTTTATAAAATACCAAATTCAGTTTTTATATTTCAAATAGATTGTGAAACTGTACATTTTAAAACTATAATTAGGTACTGTAATTATAATTTTAATTTTTTAAGCATTTAACTGCTCGATGTTTTAATCTAAATAAATTATTACTAGAAAAAAATCCACGCGGACCAGGCAGCAGACGGGACTCTAGCCCGCACCAGAAATCAATATATCTTTATTCAAATTGGATGTATAGTCCAACTCTTTTGAATCGTCCAAAAATTTTTTTCCCTACCACTCGTTATGGACATATTTTTTAGCTGCGGAGAAAAACGAGCGAAAAAAACTCCAGAACATTAAAAGTCTAATGTAACAACATTTACAAATCATTATGTTGTTACAACGTCAATACAATTATGATTTATTTAATATAGAAAACCTGTTGGAATGATTGGAACAGTTCAAACCCAAGTATTTTTGTCTGTAATATAATCAGACACTTTGTAATAAGCTTTTTTAATAAGTGTTTTTTTTATAATATCTTTAAATTTATTTATGGCTAACTCTTGGATATTGCTTGGGACTTTATTGTATAAGAGAACACAAAGACCTTTAAATGAATTATTAATTTTGTGAAGCCTAGTAGCAGGTAAAGTTAGTTTATTTTTGTTTCTTGTATTAAATGTGTGAACATCACTGTTTTTAAGAAACAAATTAATATTTTTTCTTACAAGTAATAAATATTCACCCTTCGCTATCCAATCTATTCGATGGCGCTGCCTTGCAGCTTAAGAAAGGCAAGAAAGAATTCGACACGGCTATCAGGGATGCGGTAAGATAATAGTCAGTGCATTCGCCCGGATAGCGAAGGGTGCGGATTCGAGTCCCGTTTGCTGCCTGGTCCTCATGGAATTTTTATAGTAATATTTTCTTTAGATACTGTAAATTTGGAGTTACCTGAAAAAAAATACTAGCTAATTCAGACAATGATTTAGGTTATACTTACGCAAAAATATTTTTTTCTTCAATTATTTTTTTCGATAAGTTTGACCATGTTAACTCAATAATTATGCAATTATGACTAATGAATAATTTTAGTTATCATAAATGGATTCAACTAAAACTAATTTTAGGATCTGCACACTTTAAACGGATAATAATTCCATATAAGCAGATATGTTAATTACAAATTTGCGCCATTCATAGGATATTTTGTAATCGATACTACAATATTTTTGTATGGCGGTGTAGTACATTTACTGTTTATAAACTGTTTTCACTAGTTTTATTGATACGTCTTTTAAGTTTCTCAAATAACTCAAAAATCATGGTGTACTTTTGAATATTACCACTACTTTATATTACCACTAGTTTTGTTTTGTTCGCTACTTTTTAAGAAACCAAAGAAAATTGGAAATTAGATTTATATGTTTAAGTGCTAAAACATCTAAATTATAAATGAAATTTGACTACGTATGTTGTTTGTTTTTGTTAATACAGACTAGAGGCTTCAGCACAAACATATTAAACTAATATTCAATGTCTTTTACATCATGTAAAATTAATTAACACACAATAACAAGCCTAACAAGGTAATGCTAAAATATTTAGTAATCGGCTAATGATAATCGTGCACATTCTTTACACTGCACATTTAATATACGATGGGTCAAATCGCTTATGAACTCTACTATCTGAAAGCTGAGTTAAAATGTTACGATTACGCATTCCTTACGTGCTGAACTGATCATACCTCTTCGTTAGCAACATGTGTGGTATTTGACTGAATAGTTATTTTTCTTCCTACAGTTATTGTGATTTGGTAATGATTGAAATACAGTTTTTTTTTGAAAAGTAAGAGACTTTCAAAGTTGGCTCAAATTACATATAATTAGTTTATTATAATGATATTTTTTTATATATCTTTCTAACCTTATAATGGTTTAGTGTTTTTTAATCTTATACGAATGTAATGAAAATTTCCATTCCTTATAAGATTAAGTTGATTTCATGATCCAAAATCCTTTAGCCCTTGCAAAGTATCATGACGAAGTTTGTAATGTCTCCGAAGTAATTATAAAGGAAACGAAGATGAAGGTGTACAATAATTTCAATTAACGAGTCATGCGTCCCGGGTCATGAGTTAACTTTTTCAAGGAGTTCGGAAGAGCAATGCACTCACAGAGACCCCAGATTATTTTAATAAGACGAATGCCAGTGACAAAGTGTTACGAAAACGTTGGAATTATCTAATTATAGAGACCACAATTTAATCACTTAATGTATCTAACTATATAAATTAATATGTACACAGCTTTTTGGTAATATTTTATGTTATAAAAGTCACCAAAATCCGTTCGTAGACTGACTTGGTTTAATATGGACATAAAGGTAGTCAATATAAGTCATAATTATGCAAAATATTATATACAAAATCAATCGCCGACGCCTGTAGATTCATTTTAATCATCATTATAAACATTAGAAAATACTGTTATTAAATGCCCTCAAAACACTAAAGTAGTAATTGCGTGAAACTATAATTATTACAAGGTAAAGTACCTATCTATCATCAAAGCGTATCCAATATTTTCACTAATAACCTTGGTAAGAATAGAAAAGATAGTCAAGTTCCATCGAGATTCCCACACAAACGGTTCCGAATCTCAACGCAATTTGTAAATAAAAGTGATAATAAATCTTCTCTAATAATGATTTTTGTTTAATATAATTTGTCAATGTCAAATTCAAATTTATATAATAAAGGTTTATTATAACCCTAAAGAAAAAGTATGAAATGTTTATAATGATGAATACGAACGTGTGTACCTAAGTCATGAACGTATATATGTATATCTAGATAAAATATAAGTATATATAATGTATTCTATCCGGTATCCTAGTATCCCATAACACAAGCCTTAAATGCTTACTTTGGGGCTAAGCTAATTGGTGTGAGTGTTGAAAAATGCATTTAAGAGTTTAGAATTTCTTAAACGCTGCATAATTTATTTCCTTTCTCTCTTGTCTCCGCTACTAAAATTTTGTTTTTATCATTCCTCTCTTATTCCATATTTGATTGGAGATCAACAGGTTACCTATGTTTTATTCTTATTTAATTCTTCATTAATTTTCTGATCTTTAGGTCTTTCTTTATATGTATTTAAAGTCTATTAACTCTTCTTCTGTCGTTCTGTCTGTTTTTGTTCTTTTTGATTCATCTCATTTGACCGCGATCTGATCTGATGGAAACGCCACTGCTAGATTGCATATTATATTTATTAAATAATATTTTATGCTTTTTAGGGTCGAATGTAGTGATATTCTTT